AGGTAGTGTTTTCAGGTTAAGACATGACCCAATTAATTATATAAAAGTGCACAAGCTGCTGCATATTTAATCTAACTGATAGAGTCCCAACTACATGTTCAATCAAAAATGCAGAACACGGACATGATGGAATTAATATATAATGTACATTTTATGGTCTCACATAAAAGGTGTGTTATGATGATTTTTATTTAAGCAACACTACCAAATTCCTGACACAACCCAATCAGACTCATGTACCTCTTCTGCATACTGGCACAAGATATAGCCACATTTGGAAATCCCTTTTTTTTCCATTTTCTCCTGACCTTCAAAGGAAGCATTTTCTCTCTGGCAAGTCAACATTCTGACAAGCAAACAATTAATTTCTTGCCCTTGGAATTCTTTCTATAATGAAAAAATAAAACACCTGAAATTTCCAAAGTTAGTTTATATAGAACTTTTTTACCGGAAGACCCCAAATTCACTTCACAGAATAATTATAAATAAAAATAAATAATATGCATGATCCAACTGTGTCTAGGTATTTTTAGGTATTTTAAAAAAATAAACCAACAAAATTATGTTATAGTAGATACAGAATGCCACCACCAGGCTGAGCACCATTGTACAGTGCCAAACAAACATATAATAAATGGTGGCCCTTTATTCATCTTATCCCTTACGTCTATGGAACAAATAGTCTGCCTGGGGCCAAGCTAACAAGTATAACAGGGTGCACATACTTCTCAATTGCTCATTAGCACAGGCAATAATTATAACTTTCCCCCTGCTTAATCACTAACCAAGATCCAGTTATCAGAACGTTACAAAAGCAGAGGTGAGTTTGGAAGAGGGACTTTGAGTGTGACAGAACAGATTAATAGATTTTGACTACAAGCTTCCCCGCCCCCCCAATACGTGACAGATTAAACACAAGGTTGTCATCACTGCCAAAATAAAAGCATGTGTTAACTCTGCAATAGCATCCAAACCGTAGATTAGGGGTCAGCAACAGCAACCCCCGGCACACGTGCTGAGCATGGCACGCGAGGCCATTTTGCTCGGCACACCACAGCCAGTCCCAGCTCTGGGTAGCTGCTGGGGGTAGCGCCTGCCAGCAACAGAGCCCAGGCTGCTCCCAGCAAGGTTTGCAGCATCCCAGCTGCCTGCTGGGAGCAACCTGGACTCCCAGCTGGCAGCAGCTATCCAGAGCTGGGGCCACCTGCAGCCAGGAGGCTGCAAACAGCTGCGCCAGGCTCCAGAGCCCCAGCATCAGGTCTGTACCGGCGCATGCACACCTCAGAATGGACAGCGAGGGAGGAGCCCGAGGCAGCACAGCCCCGGTCTCTCCCCCACTCCCAGCCGCGAGCTTGGGCTGCTTCCAGCAGGCAGCTGGGACGCTGCAAGCCCTGCTGGGAGCAGCCCGGGCTCCAGCAGCTACCCATAGCCGGGGTAGCTGCTAACAGCCACAGACCTGGGCTGGGGGACAACTGGCACAAGCAGGGCATCCTGCCATGTATCCCCTGCCTTCATTTTGTTTTTCTGGCATGCCGGCACTCTGGCACCTTCCAAAAGCAGGAACTGTGGTATTTTTTGGCATTCCGGCCAAAACACATTGTATTATCATCTTGATCTATGGCAGGGGTAGGCAATGGTGGTAGCATGAACGGAGAAGAAAAACAAATCTTACACAGCATAAATAAAAATTGTAACTCTTGGGAGTTAACAAGGAATTCTACTACTTAGAACCACTCTTTGAGAATATGGAGAACTTAAAAGGACAATAATCATGAAAGAATTAGAGGATGTGGCCCCTTAATTCTCAAGATGGTGACTAAGCAGGCAAACTAAACTGTATGAGAGATCTAGCGTTGAGTTTCAATCAAGGTAGAAGTATTTCATTTCTATTTTACTGGTCTTGCCATTGTGACAGTTTTCAAGACTGCAGCACCTCAGTAAACAGAAATCTATCCCTTTTTTCCTACTTTTAAAAAGGAAAAGTTGATGGTTAAATGTTACCACTGTCCATTATTTAATTAGGAACACACAGATTTGAGTTAAACTCAAAAAATAAAATGATGACTTATGCTTACAAAACCAGGTGTTGGTGCAGCCAGATGTGTAGTTCATCAACAAGCTAGGTGAGGGGGGAGGGGAATTAAAAAAAAAGTCATGGAGACATTTACTTGAGTCTCATCTACAAAGCCAGATCCTACTGACTTCTGGGATACAAATACCACAACACAAAAAAGTCTCCAACGCAGTCAACAAAAGCCTTTTTTTTTTAACTGCTTCCCAGAGCAAGCAAAGACCAAAGCCTAGCCACAAAATCCCTCAGTTTCTTCCCAAGCCCAAAGCTCTTTCAAATACATTCAGAATGTTTTAAAAAATTTCTCCATGCCCAACACCACTCTCCAAAACAATTTCTAAAGCTATTGTCATAACAAATCCCAGACTTCGCACATATACTTCTGCAGAACTGTTCTATTTCCAAGCAGCCAGGGACCGCACAACCTACAGCTTGCACCAGTGGGGGACTGCACCAGGGCAAGCTACACCCCCCATGCCGCATACCCCATGCGCATGCAATGTACCTTTGTGAGGTGGGGGCATCCATGACCCTCCCCCCAATGGCTGCACTGCACTTCCATGTGCCCCCTGCTAAAAGGCACACCTGTGTAGGTATCCCCTCCCCACTGCACCACACAGTCACCCTACGGCTTTACTATGTCACCATATGCCTGCAACCTCCCAAAGCCCAGGTTGCAAAGATCTTTGCAAAAAACTCAATGAAGAATGTCCAACATTCAAGTTTGCCTAACTGTATGCAAACTACATAGGGTGATGCCTCTCATTGAATCAACTAAGAAATCCATGCCTCTTGCATAGTTTCTGGATCATCATGACTATAAGCACAACACCTGCACCACCACAGGCTAAGAAGTATTACTGCTCTGTTTTGCAGGTATAAAAATAGAAGCATGGAGGTCAAGTGACTTACCAAGGTCACCTTGCGAGACAGTGGTGAGAATCAGAAGTACCATGGATCTTTCGTGCCCAAATACAATCCCATCCAAAATACACTAAGCACGCTGGGTAGTTGTGCAAGTAGTGGGTTAGAAATACTTGCCAATAAAAATAAATAGCACAGAATTCATTTAAGTTTTGGGTTTTTTTTTTCCCCATCAAGTAAAAATAACAGAGAGCTTATTCAAATAAGATGGACGCAAATATAAGTATTCAGCCAGGACTCTCAAAAAGAGCATGACAATGGTAGTTGAAGGAAGAAAAGTTTCACTAAAGGTTTAGCTGAAGAAAACACAAGATGCTGTTCTTGAATGTTTGTTTAGTCTCCCTACTATAGAATGGAAAGTGTAACAATTTTCCCAAAGAAGCTTTACCTGTACTTTTTCTTGTAATTTTAAAGCAAACGTTCATCCCGCTGCTCAAGTCTTCTCTTCTAAGAGTAAAATTCAAACTAGATAGAAATCTAAAAAAAGACAACTCGGGAACACACACACAACATTTATTGCTACCTTGCATTATCAAGTCCGTTTCAAACGTGTTTAAAAGACAAATTTGGCTTCATGAAGTCAATGCAGCATACCACTATTATATACACAAAGGAGTCGAGTGGTTCAAAAGTAAATAAATATAAAATCAGTAAAACAACTTTTTCACAGCTTACATATATTTTGGTGACAAAAATATCTCCTTGCCTTACTTTTTCTCAAATTTTAAAGCTAAATTTCAAGTCCCAAGTCTCTCTCCAAAATTTTCAAGCTTCGTGACACCAAGATATTGAAACTAGCAAAACCATTAGAAATTGGTTAAAACAGACACTGTCAGAACACATGCATTCATCTATCCCTTCGAGGTTTGCATGCCTTTGCTGGAAAGAAGAAACTGGCTCAACAGGAGAAAGTGAAACTATGGAGTGCTATCAAATGAACAAAAGTCGTAAATGAACTGCCTAATTTTTAGTACTAGCTTTTTGGCAAATCATCTCATGTGTTACTGGTAACACTAAAAAAGGTACAAAAATGTCCAAATAAGTGTGGTCAAAGCAGAGTGTTAGTGGACATTACACATGCAGAGAGCATGGCTGGTTGGCTTAAAACTGAAGACTGTCCTGACTCGGTTCTTGTGGGGGTTTACAGTAGATGTGGTCCTTCAGAGGAATCTGAATGAGAAGGAGAGGTTCCTGATCATAGCACATAAGTTCAAAGAAAGGTAAGCATGGCACATGACAGAGATGATTCCTAGAGAAGCATGGGGCATTAACTATAAGTGGGGCAGAGAAAGTGGAACTGAAATGGTAAGAGATGAAAGATGGACAAGTACTATACACAGGAACAGTGTTATATAAAGCTTCAAAGGCCAGGATAAGAAACTTCAGATTAAATGATGGAAAAGACAAAACAGCTAGAGAAATCTAGGGGAGGAGAGGAACATAATTTAGTTTTAAAATATATATCTTTAGTTTACTTTAAAGTTCTTTCATTGAGAGGTCATATTTTAAGATGCCTTTACAAGTTTCCAATTTGATGAGAAATAAGAAACAAACAGTAAGACATAATGGAATTAATCTATTTGAATGCTGGATGTTCATAAGTCAACACAATAGGGTTTTCTTCTCTTGACAGAATACATGCAAGAACTACCACAAACTGAAATACCAAGTTTAGAGTCAGATTAACTGAAACCACTTAAAAGCACCCGAATAACCATGTTCATGGAGAAGAAAAGGTAGAGATGCACCTTATAAACTCAACTAAGTGACATACAAATTATTCACCCGTTCAAGTGTTTACAGGATCAGTCCTAAACCAATACTAAGATTTTACTACAAGTATTTTTTGATAAAACATATTCTGTAACAAGATCCATACTATTAAAAAACGTCACGTAACATCTTGATTTGAATACAAGTTCATTTACAACCTAGGCAATTCAACAGATCTGTGCACAAGATTACGTAACATCCGATAACACACCAAACAAGATGCACCTCCTACCTAGCGTTACCCGATTCTCCAGTGTGACCAGCAGCCACTCGAGCCTAAACCAGTCCCAGGCAAGGATAAGTTTACACTTCTTCCTATGCAATGCTGCCACTAACGGGTGCAATACTAACCACTGTACAGCAACGGGAACTCGGCAGTAAAGACCAAAACGAGAGGACTGGAAAACAGCAGTCTCCTGCCCAAGACTTACACAAGAAAGATCTTAACCTTCAGCTTCCGTCACAGACTCTGTAAGCCTGACATGTTCGCTAAGAAGAGCTGGATGATACCAGGGGCACAGCTTACACAAACACGTGGAAACGGGCCGGCGACTAGATGTGAGTCAGCAGGACTCTGAGCAGTAAATCGTGTCATAAAACTTTTTTTAGGTTAATGAAATAAAAGGCTGATCTGGACAGCAGAAACTAACAGATTTAAACCCGCTCTGTCTGGATTTCCAGGAAGCTTCCAAGCAGCCCCAGGGTGGAGGCACTCTCCAGCCATCACCGGGGACCGGCCGGGAGGGAGGAGGAGGAGGACAGGGATGGCGGTCGGGCCGCGGGAGGAGCCCACTGTCGCTGCAGCCCCGTGAGGAGACCGGGGCCGAGCCCGGGCCCGCCTGGGGCCTCCGAGCAGCGCGTGCTAACGAGGTGCGGGCCGGGGCGAG